CCGTGTGTGTAGGAAAACCTGTTCCCCCCGCCATTTTGGTCCAGATCAGACTCGCGTGCTATCAACAATGTCATCAAGAAAGGAGAACACGCGCTTTTTTATTCATAAAACACTTAATCCCCCATGCGAACCTCGAGGCTTGGCGCACGCAGAAGCCTCTGATTAAAATAAACTGGGTGGGAAAAAAGAGCTTGTTGTAGCTCTTTCTTAACCAGCTCCTGCTCTGTTTCTTTTCTTTCTATTCCGAAGCTAAAGTGATTATAAAATCAATATACAAAACGCAGAGGTCTTGCATGAATTAGCTCAGTGACGGGAGAAAGGTGTGGCAGCTGCTTTTGTTCAGCATGAAAATCTCTTTAACGCGCTCAAAGATGCGACCGAGCTGCACGAGACCAAGGCGCATCTGTTCCGTCCATACATCCGCCTCGCGCGAGCTCCGATTCACCGGCGTTTGTTTCTTTAGCTCAGTAAAAGGTCAAACCTGCGCTGTTTTTATCTCCCGACAGCTCAAAATAAATCTTGTTTTTTGATGTAACTGTGATAAAATGAGTCTCCATTCTTGAAAAGTAAAATAAAGGCAGCCCAACTTAACGCACTGTTGTTTTTAGACTAATAGTTATAATTTAAAAACATTAAGTTGTGACGTATTTTTGTAAATGTTGCAGAACAAATTATTAAATTTCACGCAGATTTCTTTTTCAAGTTTTATTGGTAAATTAGGCATAGGCCTAATAAAAATAATCAATAACAAATAATAAAATTAATAATAAATTATAGCTATCTGACCTTGATATTTAATGACAGTTCACATTGTTTTAATCATCCTCAGCCTGTCACACCATCTTTATACAGTAAAAATGTGATAATAATTACAAGTAACGAGGTTTTGCTATATAAAAATTTACTTCGCCTTATTCTTCTGGTTTAATTGTTCACCGCCGTTAAAATATTATAATTGATGCTATTTAAGCATAGTGGAAACATCGGGATAGGTTAGTGATATTTACTATATTAAAGTGATATTTACTTCCAGCTCTGGCATCTTAAAATGTCAGTAAAGTCGACACTTCATCAAGATGAACTTGAGCAGAGCTGGTAAATAGTTAACGTGACTGAAATGATGTGTCACTGCGTTAAATAGTGTTTAACTAGAGACGTGTTTTAACCAGCTCAGATGTTGCTGCATAAGTAACAAAGTTGATTGACGTTAAGTCCGTAATTGGATAAACTACGGTGCTTTATGGCGCTGGAGCTGGACATTGTGCTCCGAACCCCGATCCGTTAATCCGCCCTTAACCGCAGAATAGAGCAACCAGCGGCTTTTCTTTGCTTCAGCAGACAGCCGGACACACACACTCACACGGACTGACGCACACACGCTCAAGCGCCGTGTGAATCCGTTTTCATCTCAAGCCATTTCTTTACATTGAAAGGAATTATGTAAAATATGAGTCACGTGTGTTCATTGAAAAATAAAAGGCGGATTTCACAATAGGATTGTATAGACTGCCAGTCAGTTAACCTTTAGAAACAGGCCTGCCTTTCAGAGGCGGTGTGGACATTTACTCAGCCTGTTGTAGTCACGTCTGGTTTGGCAACGAAATTATCACAAGATGGTATCCAGTGTTGTTTAGTCCTAAGTAGGACGGATAACCTACAGGCTAAATGTAATAGAGCCTTGTCACTGTCAGACAGATGAAGCAGACAGACAGACATCTGGCGCTGTCTCTCTCTTCCAATATTTTGCAATTGCTGTGTGGCTGCTACAATAGAAGGGGGAAGTTTTTCAATAGTAGGCCAGTGGGGCAGGAATACTGGGGCACTGGGCCTCGCTGTAAGGGCTCGTTATCCTGTGCTATCCTATCCTGTAGAGGAGCTGTGTTCATAAACCAGAGAGGAGAAGCCGGAGGACATGGAAGGGGAGGCAGTACTGTGTTGGATCTCAGGCCTTGAGGTGCAGGGAGACTGAATTAGGCCCAGACCGGCGCCGGGCAGCAGCCTCTGGTCCGGGTGGTGCATGCCGACGCCGTAGGCCTGGGAGCTGTGTGACGTCATCAGCGACAGGTCATGGCGCCGGTAAGCATCGAGGCAGCCCAGCTCGCGCCGCTGCTGCTCGTCCAGACACGAGGACTTGAGCGCAGAGCGTGCGTTGTGCAGGTTGATGAAGTCGGCGGGCTCTCCGTGGTGGATCTGCTGGTAGTACTGGCCCGAATGCAACGAGTTCAGCCCGTAGGCCTCCGGGGCCACGGCCGGGTGCGAGTGCTGGAACTCGTAGTGGAAGGACTGGTGGTGGAGAGGCGTATACTGGTGGTTGGCCGAGAAGTAGGGCGAGGCGAACTCCGTCCCCGCCCGGGCCGAGCGGGGAGGAGGAGGAGTAGGCGACCGAGGAGTTGGCCACGGACTCCAGGCAGCCGAGCTGCATGAGCCGGTAGCTGTTTGATCCGTCGTGACGTATCTACAAAATAATAAAGAGACGGGGAAATATATGAGCCGTGTCATTTAGCATCAGCCGGTGTCTCCTCTCTCTGCCTCCCAAACACATTCAAAAACACAGCTCACACACTCAAAGCGTTTTTTTCCACTTTAAACCACCTGAAGGAGATGTCATTTCCACACGCCCGGGAGGGGAATGAACGCACGGCAACAGGAGCCATCGGTGTTTTCCCCCTTCCTTTGGCATGCCTGTCACTCTGCTTTCAGCGTTTTAAAAGGCGTGCTGTTATATATTATTATTATTACCGAGCTGCTGGCAAATTTACTGTCCCAGCTCTCTCCCTCACACTGGATGGGAGGTAAGCAGAGTGAGACACAGCGGAGTGTTCCGCCCTAAAATCTTCTAATCACACTGTTACCGGCTCACACACGAGCCTCATTTGCTTCCACACACTAATAAAAAGCCCTGTTTTTACCGGTAGCTCCAGCCAGATGCACGACCCATTTCTCCCTCTATGCATAATACTTTTTTTAATCCATGCCATAAAATATATTCTAGGCTGGAGTATTTCTGATAGCAGATACTATCTCGACATGCCTTCCTAATTTAGTTTAAACCAAAGACTATTCGCACTACTGCACACCTTCTGTGGTTTCACAAATTAAAAGGAAATAAATGAGCCTACCTCTGCGTCGTGGACAAGTCCGGGGAAGGTCGCTGACATTGTGCTTTCTCCAAAGTAACCCGTGTTTTTTTTCTCTCCTCTCTGGTCCGATTGAATAATAGTGAAAATGCGTTAAAATCCTCAAAAAGCGAGAGAAATGGAAAAGTCCCCCCTCGCGCGCTCTCGGTAACGGCAGAAAGCTGGCGGAATGCGAGCGTCTCCCCTCTGCACGGACGGGGCTGGCTCACGGATTTTGTACTTGCAGGGTATTTCTCGGCTGATGTCGTAGGTCCCTTGGTAATATAGAAGTTTTGAAAATTAAGCATCAGCTCTGAGGAATGGGAGGACAATAGACGGAGCGGAGCATCCCAGGAGACAAGGAATAAATATTGTATCTTCGCCTTAATAAGGAACCAAGTGCTTCTTTAAACATTTTCTACGCGTTTTGTGGACATTTTCCTTTTTGACCCGTTTGTATTTTCACAGGGTCTTCTGCTCGGTTTCGTCGCGTTAGTATTTTTCGGTATTCACAGCGACTAAGTCGTTTTACAAAAATATACGGATTTTCAACGGAAATGTAAGTTTGCTTTGAAATATTATACAGCTAATTTTGATAATTATCCCCAGATTAAAATAGATTTTGTTTTGTTCCTACCACAAATTTGGGATCAGTTTAGTTGGCTTCGATGAGGAATTTTATTTGTAACCGGGGTGTTTTTGATATTTTCTGCATGCATCAGGCATCTATGGCCCAATTTTCATTATTATTGTTTTAGGCGGTTTTAGTAGTATAACAAATCCACCGATTTCACAGTGAAACAATCACGAATTCACACATTTTTCTGTACAGATTCATTCCATGTAACGGGATCCGTAAAATGGAATGCATTAGAAAGTAATTAATCAAAATCGGTTCGTTTAAAATATATTTAAATAATGTTGATTATTATTACTTTAACTGTTTGGCCTTTTATGCGCAAATGTGTTTAATTAAATCTATAATTCCTCTTTTTTTAGTAGTTTTTTTTTCTTTTTTTTTGCTATTTTTACTCAAGAATGGAAAATAGCTTTTGATGTACTTTTTTATGGGG